TCCAATGAAACTTATTGTTAAAATTAATTGATTTTGATTTAAATTTTTATTAACTTTTTAACTAAACCAAATAGGGACTATATGGCTTTTAAATAATATTATTAGTCGGGAAAAAAAAAGTCTAATTACTTCTAGACGCCTTGCCTCTAAAAAGTAAGACGTGTCCTTCTCATCTTGACATGATGCGTTGCCCAGGTTTATGCTTATGAGAAAAAAGGTTGAACCCCAACCTTAAGGGTCCCCCACCGCCTTTGTTCTGGAGTATCGTGAGAGAGGTAAATCGCAGGTTATGCCTTCAAAGGTATAAGGTGGAAGGCTGCTTGTACACTTGCACTTACCCAAAAGCCAAATTTATAATTCAGGATTCGAACCCTTGACCTAGCAGCATCAAGCAAAGCTGGATTTCTTCACCCTCCCCTTTGACCACTTGGAGATGTGCCCTGGGGCAGGTTTATGCTTCTGATAACATAATATTGTTGAGGCTTGTCACGTGTGTGCAGAAAATCCATACGTACACTAGACAAAATATCACTGAAATTTTGCCATTGGTTAATACCCGGAAAAAAATAAATAAATTGACAGCCATTCATTCATATTCTTCTGCCGACACTCTCTCTGTTAAATTGGGCAAGAAATTAATGTGATGCAGTATATTTAATTCCCTGTTCACCCAAGAAGGAGAATCATAGATGGAAGAAAAAACACTGCAAGTCTGATAAAACGCTTAAAATTTCCTCACAAGCCGTGCATGTTATCCTCCCCCAAAACAACTCATCGAACTGTCCTGCCAGTGAACTTCACGGTCCACAGGAAGAAAATTAAGGAAAGCAATGAAAAACCCTCATGTTCTACTTATTCCATTTCCAGCACAAGGCCATGTGCTTCCCCTAATGGAAGTTGCACTCCATTTAGTAAAATATGGCTTCAAAATCACATTTGTAAACTCTGAGTTTATTCATGAACGAGTTATCAAATCAATGCCGGAGACCGACAACGTACGAAAACTCATAAAAATGGTTTCGTTACCTGACGGGTTAGAATCCTCCGATGACAGAAGTGATACGGGAAAATTGTGGGCTTCAATTGTTAGGGTCATGCCCGGAGAGCTAAAGGTTCTTATTGAACGGATTAATGGTTCGGAAAGTGATAAAATCAGTTGTATAATTGCCGAGACCAGCTTGGGTTGGGCTATCGAGGTTGCAGAGAAAATGGGAATCAAGAAAGTGGCTTTCTGGCCAGCGGCATCAGCGTTATTCGCCCTGTTATTCAAAATTCCGAGCCTTATTGACGAAGGAATCATAGACAGTGAAGGTTATTACAGTTTTAAACATAAACTAGTCTTCAATACTTTATTCTAAACCCTGTTAATTTTTATTTTCAACATCAAGCAGCTCACTTTTCCCTCTAATTTTATATTCTAAGAACGTCTCCAAGATATTAAATTTTTAAGGATGATGTTATACGTACATTAGAGTGTCATATAATGGTGTCCACCCCCTCACAAGGAGGGGAATCTGCTTCGAATAAAATGTAATTTATTTGAAGTGGGTCCCCCTCCATGTGAAGGGGAGGAAACCCGTTATAAATACCACATTATATACAAGTAACATATTCCTATTTTTAAAGCGCGTATTCTATCATTTGAAGAGCATCTATATATTTAGAGAGTTAAAATTTTGGAAGTACTCTAACAAACTCTTTATATTTAACACTTAATTTTACTACTCCTATAAAAATAATAATTATTTTTCTGTCTTTTATTTTGATTAGCTTTCCACTACATTATTTTATTATTTTTTTACATTAAAAATTGAAACATTTTAAATGCATTTAATTATAGAGTTAAAATGTTAATTCAAAGAATCTCTTTGAACATGATTTTAAGTATTGACTATTTAAAATAGAGAACATTGAATATTTATAGAGTCAAAGAAATTCAATTAATGGGATTTTTACCATGTTCTCTTCCCAAGAAGATATCCCCCCCCCCCAAAAAAAATAATAATAATAAAAAAATGAGGGGTTTTATAAGCAAGTTTATCCATGAACTTAGAGCATGTTTGGCTAACCTCAAGTGATATGTGGCTTCTTTTCTAACATTTAAGTTTTGCCAAGCATGTTTTCGACGTACTCGTAATTGGTCTTTGAATTTATAATAATTAAACTTTATAATACCACCTAGTGATTCTATAAAATTGATTATGCAAGTCCCCACCTAACAGTCACTCATTTGATTTAAGGAATGCTATGGATTATGGTCCTTAGTTAATTGTTCAACTCGATTGTAATTTCTATGACCAAAGTTGTTTTTGATTGAAGAGTATTTATTTTATCATGTTTGATCTTAATGTATATTATGGCTGATCACAACTTTTGCCATCATGCCACATGAGCATGCTATCAACTAAATTGGTGTCGCCATTGGTTTTTATATATAGACCGAATTGATTTTAGTGAATAAATGATAAATATTAAAACTTTTGAAGTCCACATACCATTTCAGAAGATGACTATAAGTTCAAGGAGGATCTAAGTTTCTAAACAAAAAAAACTGTATTCTATAATTACTAATATTGCTGAACCTTCTATGTAGGAACACCAATGAAAAACCAGATAATTCAACTTTCACAAGCGATGCCTCCCATGAAGACAACAGATTTCTTTTGGAATCGTTTGGGCGATGAAGCAGAACAGAAATTGTTCTTCAAACTCCTGGTAAAAAATATGCAATCAGTTAAATCGTCAGACAGGTTAATTTGCAACTCATCTGATTGGTTGGAGCCTGGGACATTTGCTTTATTTCCAGACATTTTACCCATAGGACCTCTTCTGGCAAGTAATAGGCTTGGAAAATCAGCTGGCAGCTTCTGGCAACAAGACTCAGGTTGTCGAGAAACAATATTAAGCTATAAAAAATTAGAAAACATATGTTTATTTAAATTATATTTTTAATATGCCCCTAAAAAACTGAATTATTTATTTTTATCAAAGACCTTGACTCTTGCATTAGTTTCATAAATTCATATCCTCATTTACTCTTTAACCATTTTATCTTGAAAACTAAGATGTAAGAATAGGGACAACATATTTATTTGAATTTTGTCTTCAACAGGTTGCCTCTCGTGGCTTGATCAGCAACCACGTAATTCTGTCATATATGTTGCATTTGGAAGTTTCACAGTATTTGATAAAAATCAATTCAAAGAACTTGCTCTCAGCCTTGAACTCACCAAAAGACCATTCCTGTGGGTCGTGCGGGAAAACACGACAGAAGACGTTGACAATGCATACCCAATAGGGTTCCGTGAAAGAGTACAGAATTGGGGGAGGATGGTAGCTTGGGCACCGCAGCAAAACGTCCTATCCCATCCTTCCATTGCCTGTTTCATTAGCCATTGTGGTTGGAATTCCACCATTGA